TTATTGTAGAGATGAGGTCTCACCAAGTTGCCCAGGCGGGTCTCGAACCCGCGGTCTCAGGCGATCCACTCACCTTAGCCTCCCAAAGTGCTGGGATTACAGACTGAGCCACCAAGCCCAGCTTGAGATATAGTTTTATTAGGCACTTTCTTTTGTTCATTACCTGTTGTTATTGGACTTAATCAGTTTTTCTATTATACTGTCCTTTTTATACCACTTAACCCAGAGTTCTCTTCACTGTCACACTCAATGTGTTTGAGGACAGCACCTGTGTGCTGTCACATTTTGGAATGATTCTGGCTTAGGTTGTAATCCTTTTGTCTCTCTTTGGTCATTTAAAGCCATTTGGGCCATTTGCTTAAAAGATTTTGTGGAAATGGAACTGTGAGGTTAGGTTGGTGACCATGATACTTTCTCAAACCTTTTGCTGGACACCTATAGTGCTCTGAAAAACTGCTGTCAGACCTTTTTACACTATACATGTTTAATTATTGCTTTTTCCATTTTTTTTCTTTTTTTGAGTCGGTGTCTCACTCTTGCCCAGGCTGGAGTGCAGTGGCATGATCATGGTTCATGGCAGCCTTGGCCTTATGGGCTCAAGTGGTCCTTCCACCTTGGCTCCTGACGTGCTGGGCCGGGTTTATTTTTCTGTCTCATTCAGCCTGGTGTTTATATGGTGTCTGTAAAAGATTTTTCAAGGAAGAAAGGAATGACTTACCCAGAGTGAACGATAGTTTTGGGTAAACTGATGTCATCCCCACTACTGGTAACTCCCTTCTGTGTGTGATACATTTTTTTAAATTCTTAAATGAAATTGCTTTATCAAGACACATGTCTTCCCCAAAATGGTTCTCTGCAGCCCAGACCATATGAGGGGATGCCACTGGTAGCATTCCCAGTCACTGTCTCCTGACCTTTCCCCCCAGGTGATGAAGGTTCTGCAAGCAAAAGGCCCAAAGTGGAGTTTTCTGAAGAGGAGCTGAAGGCCCATGTCACCAAGGGCACTCTGGGCAAGTTCACCGTGCCCATGCTGAAAGAGGCCTGCAGGGTGTTGGGGCTGAAGAGTGGGATGAAGAAGCAGGAGCTGGTGGAAACACTCACCAAGCACTTCCAGAAGGAGTGACCGAGACCGTGCTGCCAGCCACCCTTGCACACTGTAGCCAGGCTGCCTGGTTTTGTTCTTCACAGCAAGTTAAAAAATGTGTCTCCTGGGCTAGGAAGAGTCTGCCTGACAGATGCAGAGGGATTTATGTGTATGAGACTTTTCTGTTGCCATGGAGACAGTGTAGCCCTCCCATTTTGCTGTGCCTTACTCTACTGCCTGAATAAAGAGCCCTAACTTTGTACTATCCTGTTCTTTAGCGTCAAGGAACAAGGTGTGTCTGCCTTGCATCCAAAGCTCACTGGCCATTGGCTGTTAGCTTAATTATGTCTCACTGGGACCATACATCATTATAATGGAAACAAAACTAATATCAATGGGGAATGGGGAGAGTGTGAACATTAAGGACAGATGAATATATTTCAGGAATGATGGGTCCTAACACCTTTTTTTTTTTTGAGACCTCCTCTCTACAATTAAAAAAAAAAATTAGCTGGGCGTGGTGGCGTGTGCTTGTAGTTCCAGTTACTTGGAAGGCTGAGGTAGAAGGATTGCCTGAGCCTAGCAGGTTGAGGCTGTGGTAACTGGGAGTGTGCCACTGCATTCCCACCTGGGCAACAGAATGAAACTCCAACTCAAATTAACAAAAAAAAAGTAACATCTCTAATGCTGGTACTGTTTGCTTCGTGAAGTCAACAGCAACTTCTTCACATTGCATTACTCTTACTGTGACATTCAAGCAGGTGAAAAATACATATTTTCTGTTGCTGCAAGAATTTGTGTTCCAGAATAAGACAAATGAAGAGTCATATTCTTTGTGTGTGTGTGTGAAAGCAGGATTTTTTTTTTTTTTTTTAGTTGGAAACTCACTCTGTCACCCAGACTGGAGTGCAGTGGCCACTCCCGGCCACCGCAGCCTCGACCTGCTGGGCTCCGGCGATCCTTCCGCCTCAGCCTTCCAAGTAGCCGGAATTACAGGCATGCGCTACCACGCACAGCTGATTTTTTTTTTTTTTTAATTGTAGAGATGAGGTCTTGCTGCCCAGGCGGGTCTCGAACCCACAGGCTCAGGCAATCCACTCACCTCAGCCTCCCAAAAGCGTAGGATTACAGGGTGAGCCACCGAGCCCGGCTGAAAGCAGGATTTATATTCTAATTTTTTATGGGGACTGTGGGAACTTCAAGATGAGAGAGGTCCTGGTATTAGAAGGGGAAGGAAGGGGTGGGTGTCTTTCCCTTTGTGTTCTTCCTCCCCTGTCTTTGCTGGCCCTCTGTCTCATTCTGCTGCTACCGCTTTTGAATACTTACTTAGGTTGGAAGAAAAGCATCTGGAAGGGTTGGTGTCCTCTGAGGATGGCTTGAGATTCAGTGTATAGGTCTGTGTCTTTCAGGACTAGAATGAGCACACTTCATGAGAGTGTAGGAGGGGCCAAAATTATTCCTCGAAGAGATTTTCAGCTTTGGATTCCTTGCTCTGAGCTTTATACTTTTTTTTAAAAAAAAAAAACCTGTTTTTTTAAAAAGATTTTTTGGATCTCTTTCCTTGTCTGGCAGAGAGGAAATAATTCTTCAATTAGATGCTTAGAAATTCTTACTGAGAAATCAAACCATCCCCTTTCAATGAAGCAAGTTTGCAAACTGGATTCTGGATGAGATTCATCTACAAAGGTAGATTGAAATCACACGAGCTGGGCTCGGTGGCTTAGCCTGTAATCCCGCGCCTTGGGAGGCTGGGGTGAGTGGATTGCCTGAGCCCACGGGTTCGAAACCCACCTGGGCAACTTGGCGAGCCTCATCTCTACAATAAGTCAAAAACTAGCCGGGCGCACCTGCGCGCACCTGTAATTCCAGCTACTTGGACGGCCGAGGCGAAAGGATCGCTGGAGCCCAGCCGGCAAGGCTGCGGTGGCTGGGAGTGTGCCACCACACTCCAGTCTGGGCGACAGAGTGAGACTCCGACTAAAGAAAAAAAAATGCTCAGAAAAAATATAGACTTTCTCTTGTTATTATTCCGTAAGGCAGTATAGCTATTTGCATATTACTTGATTGAAACTATACGGGAGGATGTGCATAAGTTACATGCAGATATTACGCCATTTTATATAAGGGACCTGAGCATTTTAAAAAATCTGTGGTGGTCCTGGAACCAACCCCCCACATCCCCCCACGATGTGGAGGGGCGATTTGTACTTCTAGCTTCCACCGCGCACACACGCGTCGGTCCGCCAGGCGGTAACGTAGTAAGAGTAGTGAGGACCCGGCTTGCGCATGCGCACTATCGACG